AAACTCAACCACTGCTCCTCTCCACCACCTCCCAGAGCCGCTGCTGAATCCAGGAGCAATTTTTCCCTCCTCCTCCTCCTCCTTCTTCCTCTTCCCAGACAGCCGAGCCGTGCTCATTACAGGGAGTAATGAGAAAGTTGAGCTGCTGCTCCGCTGTTTATCAAGGAAACATCCATTATGGATGGCATTTTGTCTGTGCTAAACAAAGGCTGTGAAGGCGAGGAGGAGGCTTTAAAAAAAAAAAAAACAAACCAACAAACCAGAAGTGTTTTGTTCCCACGTTTGGTGTTTAATCAATACCCAGCCGGGCTGGATCTGCTCCTTCCCAACCCCGGCCAAAAAGAGATGGGCCAAAACATCTCCCTGACGGACACAGAGACCCTGGGAGGGGCTGGGCAGATCCCTCACCCCCCCTCTGCCTCCATTCCCCCAGCCTTAAACACACCAGAAACAGGGATAAAAACTCCAGGAGATGAACCACCATCAGGCCCACTTCTGGATGCTGAGGGAGCTCCAGCCAGTGGAGGCTGGGAAATTCTTCAGCACCAGCACCACTGGAGCATGTAAGACCAGATTATTTGTGTTCCCGACTTGCTGATGCAAGATGAAAAAATACAGCAAAACTGCAGCTGCTGAAATCAGCTCTTTTCCTCCCCTTCCCTTCCCTTTTCCCCTTCGCTGAGGTTAGTGCTTTTGCAAAAGGGTTTTTATATTCTGGGAGCTAAAACCTGTCCGTTGCAATCAGACACAAAAGCCCCGGGAGTTTGTCAGGCTCTCCCCGTGTGCCGGGAAGAGCTTCCCTGGCACAAAAGAGCTGCACAAATTGCAGCGATCGAGCCCGACAGAGCCGGGGAAGGGCCCGGGGGCGTCTCCCCGGGGCCGGGAAGGGGTTGGATTTTTTAGCAGTCACCCGTTGGAATTGATTTATCCGGAGCAAAACCCGGGATTGCTGCCCAGAATGACCCACATCTCGCACTGCAAAGCCGGGAAGGGGATGGCACAGAGAGAGCACTTGCTGTAGCCGGGGGTTGGGTCCTTGAGGGGACACATCCTGCCCCTTTCCTGCCCTCAGAAGGGCAACATTGAGTGTCCTCCCAGCCACGGGGACCCCCAAACGACCCAGACCTTGCCCAGTGCTTAAAACACCCCTCCAAAGCATCCAGAACACACCCACATCTTGGGCAGGATGGAGGAGCTGGGGGCTTTTATCCCAGCTGGAAAACAGCAGCAAAAGGCCAGGAAACCTCCAGGAATGGGTGATTTCCATGCTGGATCTTTAATTTGCCCTTTCCCCTCCAACTCCTCTGCTATTCGGGGGAGAAAAGCTCCTTCCTGCCTCATCTCATCTCCTGTCACTGCTGGCTTTGGGAGCACTCGGGATCTGCTCCCAGTTCAATCCCTCATCAGGCCTCTGTCAGGTCAGGACGAGCATCAACCTGCTGGATAAACACAGGGATCAGTGCGAAATCCCCCAGGCAGGGCCCTGGGATGAGGGGACAGGGAGGGGTTTCTTGCCAGGTCCCTCCTGTGTGGAGATGCCAGAGGGGAGTGGATGGGATGAGAAACCCTGAACGAGGAACCCCTGAAAACACAGATTCCAAGGAGTGCATCCATGTCCTGGAACACCCCACCACGAGGGAAAAACGCCTGAGGTTCCAGCACAGCTCTGCAAACCAACGCTGGACACGACTGGGGTTTAGGAGGCCAAGACTCCCCACCCGGGCAGCACCCAGAATCCATCCCCACCCAGCTTCTCCCAGAAAACTGCGCTTCCATCTCGGAGCAAACACTCCAGGCAGCTGCTGCACCTTCCCCCATCGTGCTGCTGCTTCAACCTCTTCCTGCTGGGGTTTCACCTGGGGCAGGCAGAGGCTCCTCATTAACGCTCGGCAGCTCCGCGGCCGCCCGGCCCCGCTCGCCCGGGTCATCCCTCTCCCTCATCCGCAGCCATCCCCCCTCAGAGCGAGCTGATGGAGAGGTGCTGCCACTCATCCCTATCTTTTATTCATAGATGCTGGCTCACTGTATTACTTTTTGATAAAAAGCCCCATTCCCACATTTCCAGCGTCTCCGGAGGAAGACCCAGAGCTCTCATTTCTTTCACTGCCGAGCTCAGGGAAACTCCATCACCTTGATGGCCAAAAGAGCAAAGCCCCTCCTCCTCCTCCTGGCAGGAGACAGATCCTTCACGAGGCTGATCCAGCCCCTGGAGGGGTGACAGGAGGGTTTTTTTTTGCCGTATGAATAATGAGTTTCATAACTGAACAGGAGCTTGAGCTCCCACCTTCGCTCCTCCATGGGGGAAACAGCGGATTTCACCAGCCGGGAGGGTTTTTTTTGGGGATGCCAGCAGCACAGGGAGGGATTTGTCTGCTTGCTGGGCACGTGTGGCCTCCTGCCACGGTGCCCCTTGCACGTTCACCCCTCCACAGCTCGGGGAGATGGAGCAATCCCAGGTGGGGAGAGTGGAAGCTGCACATTCCCCAGGGAGCCGGCTCCGCCACTCGCAGCGGCAAAGATGCTCCATCCCCGTTTCCTTGGATTCTCCAGGTCCCACACCTAATGAGGACGTGCTGGGAGTGCAGCCCCCAAAGAGCTGGGATTCTCCAGGTCCCACTGCCAACTGGGATCAGCCCATGGAGAGCTGGGATTCTCCAGATCCCCCCCCGGGACTCTCCCATCCCACTGTGCCCCCCCCTTTACCTGCACAGGTGATCCGCCCGGCAGGTGCTCCGCAGGTCCAGGCAGTTGGGCTTCTCCTTGTCCTCGTAGGAGCAGGAGGGGACGATGGTCTGGCGGCGGCGCTCGGCGCAGGCGCGGTCCTTGCAGGAGCAGAAGAGCAGGCGGAAGGTGAACTCGCCGGGCACGCGGTCGAAGAACTGGCGCAGGGCCTTGTGGCACTTGCGGCGGTTGCAGGGCTCGGAGCCCGCCAGCTCCCGGCTGCAGGTGGAGATGTACCCCGAGCGCAGCCGCTTGCAGTTGTCGTTCAGGTTGCAGGCCTTGGCCGCGTCCAGGCAGTGGTTGCTCTTGGAGGTGGCGGCGGGGTCCATTCCTGGGAGGGGAGAGGGAGGTGGGGAGGTGGTTCTTGGTTTGGAGACAAACCCTGAAGCCCAGGGGAGAAGCCCTCAGCCTGGAGAAGATGCCTCTGAAACTGGGGAGAAGCTTCTCAAACCTGAGGCTGGGAAAAGCCTCTCAAAGGTGAGACTGGGAGAAGCCCTCAAATCCAGGGAGAAGCTTCTCAACCCAGGGATTTCCCAGCTGGAAAGATACTTCTCAACCTGGGATGGGAGAAGCTACAGGGAAGCCCCAGCATCTCCAGCCCTGCCCTGCCCTGCCCTGCCCTGCCCTGCCCTGCTGGCAGTGGGGAAAGGGGCTGGATGGTTCCCCCATCCAGCACAGGGAGGGTTAACACACCCCAAAAAACCAGGGGGACCTGGTCAACCAGCCCTCGGTGCATAATTCATGCCACGAATTTGCAGCATTTTCTTCCCTTTGTCAATTATTCAAAGAATAATTATTAATTATTCGGCCCTCTCCAAAGCAAGAATAGTCTGCCAAACCACACAGGACCCTCCCCTGCCTCAGCCCCCACAGCTTCTCCTGGGGCTCCCCAAAACTGGGACATCCCCCCAGGCTGCCAGTGGACCCAAGCACTGTATCCCACATCCATCCCAGGAATCCCAGGATGGACGGAGCCAAACCACAGCAAGGGGGACAAACGCTGAATTTTCATTTTTTTTTGTTTAATATGATGGATCACCCCGAGCAGCCCAGGTGCTGTTTTTGAATCCATCTCATCCCTCCTTTCCTCCCCTCCACAGCCCAGCCAAATCCATGGATTCCTCTCTTGCTTCCCCCCTCTTGCCCAAGCCCCCTGAGCGTCACTCCTGCCCTGCCCAGGACCTGTAGGGACCTGGATGCATTTTAATGGGTTCCTGGAGAGCTCATTAATAAAGCACAGGCATGAAAGTTTCATGAGGAGGGGAGGAAATGGGGGGCCAAGGGGCTGGGCAGGGGACCTGGAGCCACCGGGATTGGTGGATTCCCACCTGGAGACTCCTCCTTCTCCCCATGGTTCGCCCTTGGGAGTGCAGGTTTGGAGGGGAAGGGTGAAGAGGAGAAGGAGCAAAGAGAAGCCAAGGCACTGCTGACCTAATTTGGGGGGTGGCAGAGGGAAGGTTGTCATGGAAATCGACGGCAAAGAAGAAGTTGCCGGGGACGGTGGCGGAGTTTGGGATCCTGAGGGTGGGGAGGGGGAGGCACAGATATGCTCCAAGGGGCTCAGCATCCTTCTCCCAGCAGAATTCCAGAGCTCAGCTCCAGTCCACTGCCCCGGGGAGGGGGAGCAAACAGGGTCCCCCCCTCAGCTCCCCCAAATATGGGGCATCCTGAGGGTTCCAAATCTTCCAGAAATCTGGAACTGTGGGGTCTGGACTCCCCCAGAGCTGGGGCTGTGCCTCTCCCTCCTCCTCACCCTGATGCTGGGGACAAGGGAAATCAGGGATTTAAGGGAATTTCAGCCTCTCCAGCCCAAACCTCAGCAATCCTCTATAAATCCATGTTTGAATCCAGAAGGTAAAAAAAAACAAAAAACCACTAAATCCCAGCCCAGGGTTGTCTGAAACCAAGAGGATCTGCCCCGAAATGCACCAGCACCTGGGATCCAACCTCTGTATCCTGCTCCAGCATCCCAGCCAGCTACAGGGGCCTGGTGTCCCCCCCCAGATTGATGCCCAGGGCACTAAATTTGGGGTGATGGGAGATGAGATGGGCAGGAAAGCGGCTGAGGGGGGAGGAGCTGCGGGTTTCCCTCGCCAGGGAGCTCGGTGGCAGGTCTGTGTTCCCGGGCAGGGAAGATAAAACAGCCAGAGCATGTTGCTTTTATTACCTGAGAAAATTGAAGCAAGCCTGAATATATCAGAGAGACGAGAGGTGACCGGCTCGTAGGGGGAAGCTTCATAAAATTCTTCTCCTGCAGCGGGAGGGGAGGAAGGGAAGAGAAGAGGGAGGAAAAGCAAATGAAAAGCCCACAGCGAATCATCCAGGTGAGCACCCAGGCCCACAGCCTGGGATTTGGGAAGGGGGAAGCCAAAAAGCCTCTGTAGAGCCAATTTTGGAGCAGTTCTGGCCGCTGGGGAGGTCGTGACTGGGTCCTGCTGCCAGCCCAGCTCCCCCTCCCAGCCGGGTTTGGCAGGGGCTACGCTCAAAACGACTCCAAGAGCTGAGGGAATTTGGGATTTGAGAGGTCAGTGTTCCCTGGCCACAGCCCCCGAGTCTGGGCCAGCTGCAGGCTGGAAGTTTGAGGGTCTGTGCTCAGTTAAACTCCAGGGAAAAACAACAACAACAACAACAACAAAAAGCTGATTTCTGGACAACCGACCATGGCTCTAGGGAGAGGAAACACTCTCCCCAAACCCCAGCAGCCACAGGAAAAAAATTAATAAAATATATATATGTATCTGTATCTATAAAAATGAATCAATGGCTGGACTTTGAAAGCCCTGGCTGAGGCTGAGCAGCAGCTGCAGCATCGATCCCACCTTTGCCGGGCATCCCTTCCCCACCATCCCTGCGGGGTGGGGGTGCCGGGGTGGAGCCTGAGGTCATTCCCAGCGGCTCCTCAGTGACATTCCTTGGAAATCTGGGAGGTGGGATGCCAGGTTCCCACCTCCTGCGGGGTTTCAGCCCATCACCCGCTGTCCCCACTGCTCCCAGGGTGGTGCCCTTTGGGGGCACAGGGAAGGGAACAGGGTCCTCCTCCAGGCCAACCCCCACCTCCCTGTGTTTCCTAAAGCTCCGATGACAAACAGCACCTTTATTAGAGTGCATTTAGGAAGCACAGTAACCTCCCGGTGCATTGCTCTGCCAATGCAATGAATAATTAAATCCCAGCTTGACTCCCGCTGCTTGCGAGGGAAATTACCCGGCATTAAAAGGGCACTGGACCTGCCTCGAGCTCCCGGAGATACAATTAACCCCCAGGAATGAGGCTAGAGCCAGAGCAGCCCTTCCCAAAGGCAGGGAGAGGGGGCTGGGAGGACACCAGCCCCAAAATCTTGGCTGAAATGGCTCGAGATGGGGATCTCCTTTGGGCTCCTCGCTGCAATGAGCTGCTGCGTGGCCCCAAAGCTTCCACCTCTCCTTGAGACTTGGCATAATCACTTCTCTTCCCACCTCCTCCTCCTCCAGGTACAGCTCCTGGAGTACCCAGCAAGCCCTAAAACGTCCCTCATTCATGCTGGCAAAGCCCTGGGAAGCTACTCAATGAAGGCTGTTAATGAGGGGGAGAAAACAATTACGGAGTAATTCCTGCTCTGGGATGGGTTTTGGGCTGGCAACTTCCTGTGCTGACCCAGATTTGAAGGGAATTTCACCCGTGGGGGCTGTGTGCTCAGGTACAGCCCCCCCCATCCTCTGGTACAGCTCCTCCACAGAATCCCAGAATCCCAGACTGGTTTGGGTTGGGAGGGACCTTAAAAATCTCCTTCCAACCCCCCCTCCCCGCGGGCAGGGACACCTTCCACTGTGGGTCCAGGTTACTCTTGCTCAAGCTGAAACCAGATTTAGGAGCTTCCCACGTGCAGAACCAGCCCCAAGCCCCTTAAGGGATCTCTATATATGTTGTATATATGACATATATATGTGTGTGTTAACAACCTGGCACCCCCCTGCCCTATCTGGGCTGCCCATCTCCCTTACCTGGGGCGCCCACCCCCCTTCTCTGAGGCGCCCAAGCGCCACTCAGCCCCGTTTCACCGAGACCCCCCCACCCTCCAGCCGTGCCATCACCCCCAACCCCCCCCCATACCTTCGGTCAGCCCCAGGTGTATACTCCAGTAGATCTGAAGGCACTGAAGCTCCTTCTTCATGCCCCTCTTGCAGCGGCAGTCGTAGAGGGGGCTCTCCTGCAGCACCTCCAGGGCCGCCTGGCACTCCTTGTTGGCCAGCATGGTGTTCCTGTCGCGCCCGGCCAGGCACTGGCGCAGGGTGCGGTAGCGGGAGCTGCAGCTGGGCTCGCCCGCGCACAGCTCGTTGGCCCTCACGCAGTCCACGGGCACCCTCCACCCGCGGGGGTCCTGCCCCGCCGGGCCCGGGGGGGCGGCCAGGCAGCGCAGCATCTCGTCTGGGGTGGGGGCAGCGTGGGGAGGGGAGAGAGGAGGGCACACAGAGGTGAGGGAGGGCGGGGATGGGGTGGGAACGTTCCCGGCGCCCACCCCGCATCTCCCGGGGCCCCCCCGTGTGATTATCCCGAGCTTGGGAGGGAGCCACAAGCATCACCCAGTCCAACCCTCAGCCCTGCACGGGACTATCCTTAAAAGTCCCACTCTGTGCCCCAGAGGATCATCCCAAAGCCTCCTGCAGCTCTGGCAGCCTTGGGGCTGTGCCCACTGCCCTGGGGAGCCTGTTCAGTGCCAACCACCCTCTGGGGGAAGAACCTTTGGCTGAGATCCACCCTGAGCCTGCCCTGACACAGCTCCAGCCATTCCCTGGGAGCTGTCCCTGGTCCCCCCAGAGCAGAGCTCAGTCCCTGCCCCTCCTCTGCCCCTGTGATGAGGATCCTGGTGGAGACACCTTCGGGCTGCTCCGGGGAGGGAGAGAATTGTTCCATCACGCCTGAAATGAGCCTGGATGTGCCACGGAATCGTGGAATGGTTTGGGTTAGAAAGGACCTTAAAGGTCAAACTGAAAGAGGAGAAATTTAGGTTGGATGTAGGGAAGAGATTCCTCCCTGTGAGGGTGGGCAGGCCCTGGCACAGGTTGCCCAGAGAAGCTGTGGCTGCCCCTGGATCCCTGGAAGTGTCCAAGGCCAGGTTGGAGCAAGCTGGGCTGGTGGAAGGTGCCCCTGCCCATGGGCAGGGGGTGGGACTGGATGAGCTTTAAGGCCCTCCCAACCCAAACACTGGTGTCCTCCCCAGCCTGCACCAGGGACGGGGCGGGCACTCCCGATCCCCTGACTGCTAGATTCCAGGGAATGCCCTAGAACAGGCAAAAATGGGCATGGCAGGACCTGGAGGGCACCCTGGGCTGCTCCAGAGGGTGTTGGAGAGGAGGGGACCCTGCTGTGTGTGCAGTGCCTGCCCCACTGCTGCCCCCCCAGCAGGTGATGGGGGGACAGGGGGACCCTCCCTCCTGAATGCCCCTCCCTTCACCCCAAGGAGCAGCATTCCCGTCCCACGGGCACTGGGAACCTCCAGCTCCCAGCCCGGGTCTGGCAGGGGGACAGTGACACCTACAGGAATGTGACAAGGGCCACCTGTGTCCCCCTCGCCCGCCAGGACACACAGGTGGCTCCCAACAGGCAGGGCCGGGGCCCTGGCACCACCCTGGGGTGGGCATTTGTCCCCTGCCACCACCTTGGGCTGGCCACACGTCCCCTGCCACCACCCTGGGCTGGCCACACGTCCCCTGCCTCCTGCATCCCACGGGAAGGAGCAGCCAGAGGGGCAGGTGCCACACCCAGCTCTGCCCCCCTCGGTCCCTGTGCCAGAGGGGACACTCGGGGGGGCTTCTGTGGGGTCACAGGAGTGAAGGAGTGGGTGGGCAGCAGCCCAGGTGGAAACGACTCCACTGCCCGTGGTCAGTCCGAGGAACAGATCCCACAGATCCCTCCTGGCCTTCAGCTGACGATCCCAAGCGGGCTCGGAGGGGTCCAGGAAACTGGGATGATGATGCAGAGCTCCCACACCCACGTTAGATCCAACCTTGGGGTGGCAGACGCCCCCTTGGGCATGGGAAGGCCATCCCTGGCCTTTCAGGATTATATTCCACACGGGAGGCAGGCAGGATCCACGCAGGCACGCTCCTGGCACACGGCCTGGACTGCTGGAAGGAGGAACAGGCAGCCCCAAACGCTCCTGAGGCCAGAAATGCTGGATCTCCACCAGGCTCTGGAATGATGCTGGAAGGGGCTCTGCAGCTTCACTCGCTGGGAAACCCCAGCCTGAGGCATCCAGACAACCTGATCCTGCTGTGGCTGCAGGGCAACCGCTCCAGCGGGCATGGAGAGCCATCCCACAGCTCCAGGGGGCATGGAGAGCCATCCCACAGCTCCAGGGGGCATGGAGAGCCATCCCACAGCTCCAGGGGGCATGGAGAGCCATCCCACAGCTCCACCGTGTGCCATCCTCGCCCGTTCAGTGTCAGATCCAGCTGATGTTCATCCCAAAACTCTCCGCTCTGGTCTCAGCTCCAATTCTATCTTTTCCAGTCGATGCCACGAAGCCTCTTCCCGAACAGCCACTCCTCTGGCCACGTTCCTGCCTCCTGGCTGGATCCATGGGCCTCCCAGGCAGGAACCAGAGGTGCTGGCAGGTAGGGAGGGAAGGGAGACATCCTTGCCCTGACGGGAAAGGCGCTGGACCACCTGGAATATCCTCGTGCACATCCCGGTGCTGGGTGGGCACTCGCTCGTGCTGGATTGGGAAGCCCAACAGTAGATCCACCCGCTGGGAGCCAGCAGGAATGTGGCTTTTTCCACCTTGTTTCCATGATCTTGCAGGGGAACAGGGTTCTGTGAGCCCCCTCGGCCTCCCTGGGAGGGTTCCTGCAGCATCCCACACCATCCAGCCGGGAATGGCAGCAGAGCCCAGAGCACAAAGCCACCCCGCTGGAGGAGGAAGGGCAGGCACAGCCCTTCCTCACGTTCACAGCCTGCACAGCACAGCTTGGTCCCTCCAAATCCAGCAGGAATCAGCCCTGGCTGCCACCTCGGTGGGTTTTCCTGGATCCCACCCCTTCTCCTTGCAGCTCTGCAGCCCCACCGAGGTGCAAGGTTGGGGAGTCTGGATGGAGGGGGAGACCGAGGGGGATTTTTTTCACCCTCTCCCCCCGCCCCCAAAAAAAGAAAAACCTGCCTGCCAGAGCCACCCTCCCTAAACTCCCATCAATAAAACATCTGCAGAGAATTTAAAGCTAATCCTCAGCAGTCTCCGGGGTGTCGGAGCACGGCGAGGATTTGCAGGCAGATGCACAAGGCTCTGCCAGCACACAAGGAGATGGCCCCTTTTCCTCCCGCTCCCACGGCTTCTCCCGACACCATCAGCCTCTGCTGCCTCTTTTACCAGCTCTAAGACACGTTTTCTTTTCCTGGTTCAGCCAGGGACCTTTGGGCACGGGCAGCTCGAGAGGGAAATATTTATCCTCACAACTCGCCTCCAAAAAAAATAAAAAAGGTTCCCTCCGGAACACGCAGCCTCCTGGAGCCAGAGGGCTTTTTTGGCTCCTGGGGAATGATCCCAGATGTGAGGAGCCGGGTGTCCTCTGCACCAGGATCCTCTCACCACGAGGCCACGCCACGGGTGGGTGCCTTGGATGGTCACCCCATCCCTTAATGCTCAGCCTGGGGGTACAACACCCCTGGATCCCCAGCTCCTCTGCATTTGGGGATGCAGCTTCCCCCCCTGCACCCACAGAGCCTTTGGAGCACCCAGCAATGGGGGGACAGGGGGTCTTGCTTTCGTGGAGCCCAGGCTGGAGGGCTCCAGTGGGGCACTCTGGAGGTCCCCTGTCCCCCTGAAGGTCCTTGCCCCCCAAAATGTCACCATGAGACGTCCAGCATCGCCTCAGGCGTGCACACAGCCGGCCCCCCAGCCGGGCTGGAGCCCCCCTCCTGTCCTTGCCCAGGGGTCTCCCCACTCGTGCCCCCCTGGCCCTGGCACTCCCTGGGAAAGGGAACCCCCAAACCGGGCCCGTGTCCCACCCCACACAAAGGCGTGGGACGCACCAGCTGACCCTCCCCACCACTACCCCAGCACCCCTTCGATCCCCTGGGATCGCGCAGGGAGCAGGGCGGGGAAGAGCCCGTCACCCCCACTCCACGCAGGGAGCAGAGCGCAGCTCCACGTCCCTCTGGAACGAGGCTGCCTCTGCCAACCTTCAAGTCTCCCCCAGCAGCAGCTCCCTGTCCCTTCTCGCTGTCCCCGCAGGACGGTGACACCCCGCCAGCCCCGGTTCCTCAGAGTTTTCCGCGTGCTCTGTGCTGCGGGGAGCTGGGATCACACACGGGGAACCCACGGAGAGGCCGGGAATCCGGGATGGCATCGGGAGCACGGCACGGGCACAGACGGAGCCGCGTCCTGCGCGCACCGAGCCACGGCAAGGAGGGCAAAAAAACCCGGCATTTCCCACCTGCCTCCTTTTTCACCCCAAACCCAGCACGGTCTGTGGGTTCCCCCCACCCCCTCTCCACGCCTCTCTTTTCCAGCTGCCCCTCCCGGGAGAGGCTGCCCTAGAAATGGGAAGCGTCTCCCGGCACAGACAAAGCTCCCCGGGAACTCAGCCGCGCTCCCTCTCCCCGGCGACACGCGCGGTTCCAGCCGCGGGCACGGCGATTCCCCCACGCACACGCACACGCCACGAGCTCAACTTTCCCGGCCCCGTTCCCCACGCCGCGCTCCCAGCCTTTGGAACGGCGTGGTGCGGGGAGCAGCACCGGGAGGGCACTGGGAGACACGGGTGGCAGGGGGCGAGAGGGGCAGATATCCCCCCAAAATGCGAACCCGTGCTGGCTGACGAGGACAGAGGGATGGGAGACGAGCGGGGCTGCGCTGGCGGATGATCCCGCTCGCTCCACGCGGTGCCAGCGGCGGGGGCTGCGCTTGGGGTTGTGCCCCCCCCACGCGTCCCCCTCCCCATTTTAAGTTTACAGGGAACGGGAGAATCAAGTTGCCCTCAGTTAAAGCCCCTCGCCGCGTCCCCCTCCTGCCGCAGCGCCGGCTCGCAGGGGGTCGGTCCCTCTCTCAGCCCCCGCAGCCTCTCACCCGGGGGTGGGGGGGACACGCCACCTCGGCCGGGCGACAGCCACCACCTCCACCCCCCTTCCCCAGCCCGGGACCACTCACCTAGGAAGAGGACGATGCAGAAGGCGTTTGCCAAGATCATGTTAGGAAATCCACGCGCTCCTCCACGTGTGCAAAAAAAAAAAAAAAATTAAAATAGAATAAAATAAAAATTTAAAAAATAAAAAAAGAGGGATCGATGGAAAAAAAAAAATATATATATATAATAATAATTCCCAAAGCGAGCAGGTAAGATCCCAAATCCGGAGGGCTGGAAGGGAAGGGAAGGGAAGGGAAGGGAAGGGAAGGGAAGAAGGGGGGTGTGCTCCGCCCGGCGCGGAGCCGGGTCCTCCTCAGCCGCTCGCCGCCTCCCGCATCCCCGCCGGGCTCCGCTCCGCGCTCCGGGCTCGGCGGCTCCGCGGGGCTCCCGGAGGAGCTTCTGCCGAGCTCCGGCTGCCGGGGCGGCGGGGAGGGGGGCGCGGCGAGGGGCGGCCGCGCTCCGCCGAGCCCCGGCGAAGGGGGCCGAGCCGGCGGTGCCGCCGTCCCCTCCCCGCCCTCGGCCCTGCCCGCCCCCTCCACCTCCCCCTCCGCCCTTCCACCGCCCTTCCGCCGGGGCAGGGGGCTGCAGGGGGGCGTGTGGAGACCCCCCGGCCACCGGCTTTGTCACTGGCTTTGTCACCGGCTTTATCCCTCTCACCGCCCCCCTGCTCCCCGTCTCGCCATCCATCCCTTCTTCTTCCCGAGGGGATGCACCTGCCTGTGTTTAACAGAGGACCCCCGGGGGCTGCAGAGACAAAGGAGAGACCCCCCAAGCTTCCCAAACGCCCCCCGGGTCCCTGCGCTGCTGCATCCACGGGGTTGGGAGGGAGGGATGCTCTGGGGAGGGGAGAGGGTCCCTGGATGGGTGATGACGATGGGAGAGGGGCACCCAGGGGGGCTGCAGGGACAAGGTGCTTCATCCCGGGATGGGTGACCACCATGGGCATGGGAGAGGGGCACCCTGGGGGGCTGCAGGGGCACAGGGACAAGGTGCCTTGGGGAAAAGCCACCAGCTGCCAGGGGCAGGGAGCCAGGGAGCCCACCCAAATTTGGGGGGAGGGAGCTCCCAGCTGCTCTGTGCTCCCGGGGTCTGCAGGAGGAACTGCACACACACACACCCAACCAGGGGATTAGACCTTTCCATGTGAGGCTCCTTGGGCACCAGCATCCTACTCATCCTTCCTGCCATCCAACCCCTGTGCCCCCCAGCCTGGGGCTGGGAATGGGGGTCACCACCACCCTTCCCCTCCTGCTGCACCCTGGGCAGGGTCTATCTCCCTCCTCCCAGCCCTCTCACCCCTCTCTCAATTCATGATTGGGGGTCAGGACCCTCCAAGTGCCAGAGATGGGGGGTCCTGGCCCAGGAAGTGGAGAGGAGGAGGAGGAGGAGGATGCTTTGCTCTGCTACCTGGGAGCACGAGGGCAGCACAGCGCTGAGCCTCCCCCCACCCACACATCCTTGTCTCCCGAGCCTGGCCCTTTCGAAAAACAGCTGGCACATCACCTTGGCAAACAGAACAAAGGAGCACAATCCTCCAGAGCGAAGGGTCAGGCAGAAAGAAAGGGGAGGATGACAAACAGCAGATCAGAGCAGCACACATTAGCGAGGCTTCCCAGTTAACATCCTTCCCGTCCTATTCTTTGCCTGCTCTTTGCTCTCCCTGCCTTGGCTTCTCTTTGGAAAGAAGAAAAAAAAAAAACACACGCAGGCTGTGACTTAGCAGGATGTTCCCGTGTTTTCGCGGCTCCCGAGTGGAGCCAGGGCTGGAAAGGGGTGTCCTGAGCTGCCCGGCTTTGGTTTGGGCAGGGCTCGCTGCTCGGGGTGTCACACCCGTGTCCCTGCAGGGGACCCACCGTCCCTCTGTCCCCTTTGTGCTCCTCCCTGCTCCGCCCTGGGAGGGGGATCCCAGCCTCGGGAGCAGCGGGATCTGCTTCAGCCCACCCCAAAGGCAAAGACCTGCTTTGGTTCCTGCCTTAATGGCATCCCGGAGCCCAGCCGAGGGAAAGGATCCCCTCCACCAGAAGAGGGATCTGCTCTCCGCTTTTCCTTCTGCTCTTCGGCCTCTCCACTGTCTCCCCCTCCTGCCTTGCCAGGCTCAGGCTGTGCCAGAGGGGAGGATTTCTCAGCCCCCACCGAGGTGACACCTGAGGGATTTTGCCCCCTCAGCTGCTGTAGGAGGGAAAGGCACAGCTTCCCCTCGGCTTTCCCTGCGTTTTATTTCCTCAGCCTGCCCACAGGGACCCTCACCCCGCTTCCCAGAGCCTGCTGCCCGTGGGAACACCCACCTCTGACTCCCTGAGCACACTCATGGGCTGGGCCACAGCACCCAGCTGATGGAGGGATGGGGCAGGAGCCCTGAGCTTTGCATCCTGGGGGGGGGGTTAATCCCAGCAGCATTCCCACTGCAGGCACTGACTGTGGCTCATCCCCGCTCCAGCCTTATCAGGAGCAGCCAGCAGCTACCTGGCCTCTCAGTTCGGATTTATTCCAGGGCAATTTAGAGCCCTTCGATCAGGGCCATGGCATGGGAAGCATCCCCCCTGGTCAGCCCTTCCCCATCAGCCCGTGTTTTGGGGGCAGGGGAGGTTGGATTTTTCCTTTAGGACAAGGGGAGAGGGATGGGATGGTGGAGGGTGGCTCTTCCCTGGCAGCTTTTGGGGGGCACAGGGGGGTTGCTGTCCCTCCCACAGCCACTCCAGCACAAAGAGGGCTCTGCCTGGAGCTGCTGATCCCGGTGAGAGGGAGAAGGGAGGCACAGAGGGAGCAGGGTGGCAGGCAGAGGTTTTTGGGAGCGAGGGAGGCCCACGTGGCGCCTGGGAAGAGGAGCAAGATGCAACACCTGCTACAACCCTGGCAAATACTCATTTTTTGGGAGTGCAGAAAAAGCCACAAAAGCTCAACAAACTCGACAACTTTATTCCCACCCTTTGTGGAACGACAATGGGACGTGGCTCCCCGTGCTCCCAGTGCCTCCAGCAGGGATGGGCACCTTCAGGGTGAGGGGTGGTGGCTGGTTGCTGCTCCTCACCCCAAATTATCCCCCCCTTCCAAAGCACCTTGCTCCTGAGGGTCCCAGCATTCCCTCGGGGATGGAGACCCCTCCTCGGGGCCGGGGCTTTGTTCTTGCCCCCAGGAGCTGATGGATGTGACTGGAGGATTTCTCCCCTCCTTCCCTGTAAGCCCCATTAATATGAGTTGGATTTGCTTACCCTCCTGACTCCGGGCTTTAATTCTGCAGAGCGTTATCACATTAATGGGAGTCAGGGTTGTTAACGTGATGGATTAGGCATTAACGGTGTAATCCCCTGGGGGCAGGAGAAGCCCGCAGCTCTCCCCACCCTCCCTGTCTTCTCCTCATCCTGACAGTGCTGAGAAAGCCCTGAGCACCTCCCAAGTGCCTGTCTCTGTGTGGGATTCTTCCCCCCCTCAGGCGGGATTCAGGCAGGGGGATGCCTGGCTGAGGGGATCAGGGCACCTTCCCCTGCTCTGCTCTCTGAAAAGATGCTCCAAATTGGGGTTTTTTTTAGCACCTCTGGGAGTTTTTAAGGTCCCTCGTGTTTCCCAGGGGTGGCTGGGAGGCAGGACCTCCCCCCTGCTCCCGGTGCTGGGGGTTCTGCAGCCCAGGGCTGGAGCAGGACCAGCAGCTCCTGTCCCCCAGTGTGATCCATCTGCTTGGTTCCTCTTGGCCCCAAGACCCTGGAATTCGGCCCGTTATAGAATCATGGAATCATGGGATGTTTCAGCTTGGAAGGGACATTAAAGCCCATAAAGTCCCATTGGGCAGGGACACCTTCAACCAGATCAGGTTGCTCCAAGCCCTGTCCAAACCAGGCCTTGAATGGGTCTCCTCTCCTTGCAGATGGGACTCTATTTTTTATTCCTTTTTTTTTACATCTCACTAGTTTACATATTTTTATCTCACTAGTGTATATATTTTTATTTTGTTATTTTACATATTTTTATCTCGCTATTTTCTATATTTTTATTCCGCTCTTTTACATATTTTTATTTCGCCACTTTACATATTTTTATTCCACTCTTTTACGTATTTTTATTTCACTATTTTACACACTTTTATTTCACTGCTTTACATATTTTTACTTCCCTGTTCTTTTTACACGTTTTCTATCTCACTGTTTTATGTTTTATGTGTTTTCCATCTCGTTCCGGGTTTGCCCTCGCCCTGGCTGTGGGGAGGGCAGGGCGGGATCACCCCGGGCACCCTGGCTGGTGCCAAGCCCTGTGTGGGGCACAGGACACCCCCGGGGTGGGGGGGTAGGGCAGGGCTACCTCCCTGCTGCCCACCCACACCCTCTCTGCTCCCTCCCGCAGCAGGGGAAGCCCAGCTCATCCCCCTCCTCCTCCAAACCCTCCCAGGCCCAGGTTTTCCGCTCAAGGAGCCGATCCCCAGGGGCTGAATCCATCGGGGCTCACCCGGGCACAGCCTGTGACCCTCGGGCTGCCCGCGGGGGTGTCCTGGGGGGGTCGCATTCCAGGGCTGATGACAGCGGCCAGCTCGGAGCCGGGGGCACCGGGAGTCCTTGGCACACCCCGACGCTGATGGGCCCCGACAGCCACACGCAAAGCACAGGCTATTTTTGCCCTCGCTGCTGTTTTCTGAGCTGATCTTCCCTCTTTAACCTCTGCCGGGCAAACCAACCCCCTTCCCTTCCTCTGCCGCTCTGCCCGCTCGGGGGTCCCGGGGGGAGCAGAGGGGTGGGGTGAGAAGGGGCTCTGCTGATTCCAAACCCTGCTCCCAGCCCTCTGCAGGGAACAGGGGGCTGGGGAAGGGTCCCAGCGGCTCCTGGGCCTCGTCCTCCCCTGGGTGATGGCCCTGGTTGAGGAAAGCCCTGCCGAGAGCAGGGGCAGGCCCTGCCCTACCAGGGGTTCCCAAACCAGAGCCGGGTTATCCCTAAAATGCTTAGAGGACACCACGGGCTAGGATGAGTCCTGCCAATCCCGAGGTATCCCAGGGCGCTTCCTCTGCCCTCAGCGAGTTTTTGGGAGCCGGCAGTGCCCCTCCCGTGGCAGAGCCATGCGGTGCCACGCGGCTGGTGGCACCGGGAGGGCTCGGCCCAGCCCGTTCCCAGAGCTGTCAGCTCTGCTGCTCACACACCCATCAGCCTCCACGGCCCCAAATCGCAGCTGACATTTCCATCAAACCCCTCGGCACCTGAGCGAGACGAGGAGCTGAAAGGGAAGCACTTGGGAATTTTTTATTTTTTTTTGCGAAGGAACATATTTCCACCCCAC